TGTTTTTTGTTATTTTTTTAAAAAAAGAAGAAAACACAGTGAGAGACAGACTGGAGATTTGAGTTCCAAAACTGACTCTGCCACTTGACCTTGAGGAATTTATTTAACTCCTTCAAACCTCACTGTTCTTATCTTTAAATTGGACATAATCATCACCATTACCTCATAGGTTTTGGGGGAGGATTAGCGATAGAGTGTGTATAAAGGGTATATAACAGAATAGGACCTCATCAAATGGTAGCTATTATTACGCATAAAAGTATTTTTTAGAAAGGAAATAAATACAATAGAATCTTTCTAAAATCATCACTTATAATGAAGAATAAAGCATATGGAGGAAGTAAAAGATTTATACAACACAATAGCTAGATTTTAAGTTCTTAAGACACAGTCTGTTTTAATGACATGTTTATACTCTGTACTTAGCACAGTGCCTGACAAATCTTAAGTGTTTGATGAATGCATATTGCTTTCAGTAAATAGCTTCAGAGCAAGATTTTTCTTTGACTCTAGTACCACTCAAATACCCAGCTGATTGAGCATTTTTACCAATGGAATCACCTTGCCATGACTTGCCTCAGTGTAACTGACTGAGTGCCTTGCATGTGGAATCATTGCAACAATGTTTCCCTTTGAAAGGTTGGGGTTTATGAGGCCATTTCTTCCTTCAGTCTATTCCCTATTCCTTTTAATTCTCAATTGCTCTTTAGTTTCTACAATATTTCACAGGCAGGCAAAACAGAGCAAACAAAAGACCTTTCATAAAAGTAACTTCCTACTATAACTTCTCTCCATGAAATCTGCTGAGAAGACAAAAAACAATCACAAAAGAGATGAAAACATAAGCCAGGCTAGTTCCCCAAATCTTTCATAGGGCGCCAATATTGATATTTAAGTGAAAAGTTTCTGCAAGATCCTGGAAGTAACCCTGAACTCAAGGAAGGATGAGCCAGGGAGGGAAAGGGAGCATTTCCATACCCAAGAGTGTGAGGTGTGGTAGACACCTGCTATTTTTGTCCTCTCTGGGCAGCACTTCTGTCTACAGGAGGGAGCTGCTCTTCCCAGAGCCCACGGGACTGGCGGTGGGGGTGGCTACTCCATCCAGTCATGACTCCCTAGCCATGTTAACACAATACAATTGGGCACTGACCCAAGCAAATCTGATCTTATTTCTTCCAAGGGATTTGATATATGAAATATTGGGAAAGAGAGGGAGTCACTTATTTTTACACCAGGAATTATAAGGTTATACAGATGATTGGCACTACCAGTAGGCATATTTCCTACTACATGTAATGAACTTATTTGTATCAGAAGAGAATTAGGTCACATAGAAAAAAAAAAAAAGCAGAGACAAACATAACCTGAGAGGAAGAGTGGGAAATATAATCTTGATGACATCATTTGGACACCTGAATGCACCTGTGACTAAAGCCTTTGTTTGATAGAACAAATTGTAAGAGTAGAAAATGAGTTCTCCTGTCCCCACCCCCACCGCACTTCTAGCTCCAGGCTTGGTAAGTTGGTAAAAAGGTTTTAAAGAAAGAGGGAAGTTACTGGTGCACGAATACAGGGAAGAATTTGGAACTGAACAGCCATCCAGGAGGGAGGGGATGAGGGGCAGAAGTGGAGGAAGAGTAGAGAGAAGGAGATGATCCAGTCCTGTGATAGAACTGCTCCTCATAGCTTTTCAAATTTTAAACAAATTCAACTAAAGATCACTAAATATTGATGTGTCAGTCGATTTCTTGGGGAAATCCATTTTTTTTAAAAAAAGGTATGTAGTTTTGTATGCTCATAGTTTTATATCTGTGACATATGGAGAAGAGAGGCATAGGATTTAGTTGATAATATGAGGTGTTTGGCCTTTCAGAGATCCTGAAGTTGGTTGGGGACTAAACCAGTTATTTCAATCTTCAAAGGACCAAAAGGCCTTAGCTAACATCTGAATTATAGATATAAAAAGAAACAAAGAAGATTCAACACACACATAATAGGTGTTCCTAGAGAAGAAAACAAAACAAAACATAAGCAAAAACAAAAAAAAAAGAAAAAAATATTATTCAGAGTTAATACAAAGAATTTCTCCTGAAAGAAGAGATCTAAATATGCAGGTTAAAACAACACATCAAGAAAAAAAGTAATAAGATCAAGGCAAGATCAAAAAGTGATCAAAATCAAGACATATCCTGATAAATTTCAAGGATGAAAGAAGTGTTACAAGCATCCAGACAGAAAAGACTTGTCACCTTTAAAGAAAAATAATATATATCAGGCAGGCCTTAGATGTCTATCCACAGAGACACTAGAAGCAAGGTAATGGAGCAATGTTGAAAAGAAAAAATATGATACAGAATTCTTAGCCTAGCCAGAATATCTTCCAAATGTAAAGGCGTGAGAAACACAATCCTAAATATGTAAGAACTTTGTAATTTTAGTAATAAAATCTTTCTTAAAAATCTACTTAGAAAATTAACCCTGCTACCTGAAAGAATAATCAAATTTAGAATTTATAAGTTAAGAAGTTGTGATAGAGATAGATTAGCAATAAATACTGTGGTCTGTTAAACAGAATTAAATCATTTATAACTGTGATGCCTATTGCTTCTGAATAATGTGATTATGGCTTCTGAAAGAAATGTGTTTTTATTATTTTACAAAGTGAAAATATAAGGATAATTTGGCAATGATAGACTGAGATAAAAAAAAAAAAAATCCCAGAACATGCCAACAAAAAGCAAAAGATTTGTAGTTGGTTCATGGTGGCACACTAAATGGTATGTCCCCTTCTGCCCCACATTCCTTTGAGAAGGTGGAAAAGAAGCCAAAGGACATCAAATGACAAGAGTGCTAGAAAGCACAGCAAGAGTACGACCACAAAGTTGGAAGTATTCATGCAGACAGTAGACGAGTTTACAGGGACAAAAAAGGAAAGTGACACCACAGCCCCAAATATCAGAAGTAAGATTTTTTTCCCCAGGGAAGCACCTAGAGAGGCTCTGAGCTGAGTCAAGAAATCCAGCACACTGGAGAGGGGGTGACATCATGCCAGTTCCAGGCCTAGCCTTGAGGGGACTGGCAGCTTCTACTTTCCTTCCTCTTGGAGCTCTTGGAACCCAGCTACCTCTCAGAACCCAGAAGCCACTCTGTGAAAAACACGGGCCACATGGAAAGGTTAAGTGAAGGTGCCAGACCCAGCTGAGCTTCCAGCTTACAGGCAAGCACCAAATGTGGCCATGAGAGTGAGCCATCTGAAATAATGCAGCCTTAGGAAGCTCAGAAGAAATACAGCTCTGCCCATATCTCATGGAGCAGAAGATGACCCAGCAGAGCCCAGTCAACCCACAGGAGCATGTAGTATGTACATATTGAAAATACTGATAATGAAAGAGAATACTATAATTGACAAATATTGAGAGCTGAAGAGGGAAGGGGATAGAAAAGATAAAGTGTATAGAGCCTTCATCCTTAACGGAAGGAATCAAAACATAGCAATATACTTTAAAGTGTTAATTATAACCACCAGAAAAGAGAACCTAGAAAATCTTAAGTTGTTTCTGGAAAGCGGGACTAAGGATAGGAATAATTCAGAAGGCAGTTTAGACTCTTCGTTTTTTGCCATGTAAATCTACTTCCTTATTATTTTTAAGAAACCAAGTTAGAAGGTTATATTTAATGCGTAAAAATAAAAAATATATCAAGATATTATCACTTCATTGTAGAGTTTTTTCATTTTTTAATTTTATCAACTTATATATATTATATATATGATAAATATATAAAAATACAAAATGTATTTCAAAACCAATTTATATATGTAAAGACTGATTAGATGAAAATACAAAGCCCAACCACATGTATACTGAAGATAAAAGACCTCAGAGAGACCAAGAATAAAAGAAGGAACAAAAGTGTAGCCAGCTGGGGCACCCGGATGGCTCAGCCGATTAGGCGACTGACTCTTGAATTTGGCTCAGGTTGTGATCTCAGGGTCATGAGAACGAACCCCTATGTTGGGCTCCATGCTCAGCTCAGTGGGGAGTCTCCTTGAGATTCTCTCTCTCTCTCTCCCTCTCCCTCTGCAATCCCCACCTTGTGTGTGTGTGTGTGTGTGTGTATGCATATGCTCTGTCTAAAGTAAATAAATCTTTTTTTATAAAGATTTTATTTATTTATTTGAGAGAGCAAACAAGCATGAGTGGGGGGGGAAGGCAGAGAAAATAATAATAGAAATAGAAATAGTAATAATACAGGTTGAAACACATGAGGCAAAGTCAAGGTTATACCAAGAGAAAACTTCCTGACCTCTAATACCTTCATTCCTTATCAAGGCAAATGAAGAATATTTTTAATGAGTAAATACTAACACAGTTGTTTAAAGAGTGACAACAATATTCTTTAAGAAGTTGAGAGAAATAATAGCAACAACACAAAGGAACTAGAACACTTGTTAAATCACTCTAGCCAGTTCTTTTTTTTTTTTTTTTAAAGATTTCATTTATTTATTCATGAGAGACAGAGGGAGAGAGAAGCAGAGGGAGAAGCAGGCTCCCTACTGAGCAGGGAGCCTGATGCGGGACTCGATCCCAGGACCCTGGGATCACGACCTGAGCCGAAGGCAGACGCTTAACCATCTGAGCCACCCAGGCGTCCTAGGCAGTTCTTGGAACCCAAGAACTGAAACAAAACCTATCCTATAAAATGGAATAAAAGCTAGGTGGGCTATCATGGGAAAAAACTGAAGAAAGCATAAATAATTCTTTTTTTTTTTTTTAGCTTTTCAAATCATTTTAATAACCTAGCAGTGATTCAAAATATAAAGAAGATTCAAAAGAGGGATGCTACCATGATGGATTTACACAAGCATGATCAAGGGCAACGATGAAACCGGATTCCAAAGAGCAAGTGTGCCTAGAAGGCTTCAACACTCACAGTTTGAAGAGCTTGGTTTCGGAAAGTCTCTGAGGGGTAGCAGAAGAGACATGAAGTTTAGGGGACCCTCAGAGGACAGGGCGCGATTGCTGGGTCATGAGCACCTTGAAGCGTTTCTTGACGGTGATTCGGTGTCTAGAGTATTTGTCATCTGGGGAGAACCGAGCAGGATGCGCCGAGCAGGTCTGTTGTCCCATAGGGTCAAGCTTCTTCAGCGTATAGACTCGGTCTCCCTGCTCGTTGAGGTAATACTGGAGAAACATGACCACACCGAAGCCAGAAATTCTAATTTCGTCTGCTGAAAGCATAAAGAATTCTTAATCTCAGGAAACAAACTGAGGGTTGCTGGAGTGGGGGTGGGGTGGGAGGGATAGAGTGGCTGGGTGATAGACATTGGGGAGGGTATGTGCTATGGTGAGCGCTGTGAATTGTGCAAGACTGTTGAATCACAGACCTGTACCTCTGAAACAAATAATACATTATATGATAAAAAAAAAAAAATAGTAGGAAGGGGAAGAATGAAGGGGGGGAAATCGGAGTGGGAGACGAACCATGAGAGATGATGGACTCCGAGAAACAAACTGAGGGTTCTAGAGGGGAGGGGGGTGGGGAGGTGGGTTAGCCTGGTGATGGGTATTAAAGAGGGCACGTACTGAATGGAGGACTGGGTGTTATACGCAAACAATGAATCATGGAACACTACATCAAAAAAAATTAATTAAAAATAAAGAAAAGAAAGTATAGGATTTTTTTTCTTGGAAAAAAAAAAAAAAACCCAAAAACTGAAGAAAGCATAAATATACAGAAAACGAGGATGGAGGAAAATCCAGACTGGCCCCAGCATTCCACCCCACTCATCTGTGATTCATGGTTAGGACTCCATTTCCTCAGGTGTTTCATTTGTGAAACATAGCCCAGGAGACTCTGGAACTAACCCTAACAGATGAAAATTCTGAGAAGTGAGTGGAGACTAAAACAACAAACATATTAATATGAAGTCCTCAGGGCAGGATGTTTCTGCAGTAGTGCTTAAGATTAAGAGACACACAACAGTTAGTAAAGAAAAGTTGACTTCAAGTAACAGGTTTTGTCATGGAGAAAGTTCAGATCCTCATTTGGCCATCAATCAATCAGACACCCAGGCACCATTTGAAATGGTGGATGAAGCTACAATTGATGTGCTCAGCAGTAGACAAGAGGTGTCTACTCAAAATCAAACAAACAAACAAACAAAAAACCATACTACTTCTTTATTCCAGAATAGGATGTCATTATAGTATTCTCATGTTGGGAAAATATCATTTAATTCAGCCGTATCTTGGCAGGTTTTTCTGAACATCACTTTTATTTCTCTATAGTAGATAAATTATCTGGTATATGTGCATAAGCAAAGTGCATTTCTTTTGCTTTTCTTTTATTAATTTCAATGTTCACAGTGGTAAAGATCAGCCAAAAAAAATCCACTCTAGGAAAATGCTGCTCCTTTCCATGAGTAGCATGCTCATTCAACTCGTTATAATGTCATTAAGGTTAACAACAGCAAAATTTGCCTGCCTTCTTCACAAGATAAAAATCAATGTTTTCCCTGTATCGTCGTAAAACTAAGGTTCAATTCATAATTTTGTGTGTATATATAGGTCTATCTACGAGAGAAAAAAACACTTGAGGGAAATTGATTTTAGAATCTGGATAGTCTTTTCTACATATAATCAGTCTTCATGTTTAGATACATTTCTACTTTCAATTTTGGTTATTTAGAATTTAAAATTTCGCTACTAATTTTTTATGTTAGAGCATTGTGCTCAGAGAATGTGCTCTGTATAATTTCTGCTCTCAAATTCTATCAGTAGTTTCTTTGTTGCCTGATAATAAATTCCATTGACGCTGGAAAAGTATATTATCCGTGTGAAAGGTTTAACGTTCAATATGCAGCTATTAGGGTAATTTTGTTCATTTTATTACCACACCTCCATAAGCTAGCTTATTTGTTGCCTGTGTGATATAGGAAAGACTGAGAAAAGTATTTTAAAATATCCTGTATCTATCAATATTATATATATTAATTTCTTCTTTGGTTATTAGATATTTTGACAGAATATTATTTATACTTTAAGGGAGGGAATTATTAACATATTTGATAGTGACTTCATTTCAGGAGTACAACTGCGTTCACGGCCAGAGCAAATGTTAAATTAAACTTTTAATTTTATAATATTCTGTATTATCTCTGCTTCCCAACCCTGTCCATGTGTTCTTTCTATTTTTCAAAGATAAAGAAATAAGCAAAACATAAAATAAGACAGTCTTTTATATCTCAGTGCTTTATGCCTTCACCTCTATACCGTATGATATTAGTATTATTCTTGCTTTATGTATTTATTTTTTGTTTAGGATTGCCTGATAAATAATTGGCCATCTTTTCTGTTAATCTATATCAAAACTATAGGGGGCGCCTGGGTGGCTTATTCGGTTAAGAAGCTGACACTTGGTTTCAGCTCAGGTCATGATCCCAGGGTCGTGAGATGGGGGTGGGGAGCACCATAGGGCTTCCTGCTTAGCAGGGAGTCTGCTTGAGATTCTCTCTCTTTCCCTCTGCCTTCCCCACTCCTGTATGTGTGCCCACGTGCACGTTCTCTCTCTCTAAGATAAAATAAATAAAATCTTTATATCAGAAACTATAGGATCATCCAATATTAGAAAGTTTGTTACTATAATGTAATATTGTTAAATTAAACAAGGAGGTCATTAGATTGATGCCCTGGCAACCTTCACAAGCAAACCAAAACCTAAGCCTGGAAATGCCTAAGGACAGCCAATCACAAACAGCCAATGAGGCTTTCCACTATAATCTGTGATTTCCTTTCTTTGCCTCTACACTCTCTCTAGGTAAGTCTTTCCCTGAGTTCCTTATGGAGTGTCCCTAACCACTTCTTGTTTGGCATTGCCTGATTTGAACGGATTTTTGCTCAATAAACTCAACATTTTTTATATGCCTCAGTTTATCTTTTAACAGTATTAATAAATCCAATAAATTTTTTATTTTTATTTTTTTAAAAGGACCCCTTTAATTCCAAAGAATCATGATTTTTTTTTTAAGTAGGCTCCACACTCAATGTAGGGCTTGAACTCACAACCTTGAGCTCAAGAGTCGCATGCTCTACTGACTGAGCCAGCCAGGTACCCCTCTAATAACTCTTAAAAAGCAGTATATGCTAGGGGCGCCTGAGTGGCTCAGTCGTTAAGCGTCTGCCTTCGGCTCAGGTCAAGATCCCAGGGTCCTGGGATCGAGCCCCACGTCTGGCTCCCTGCTTAGTGGGGGAAGCCTGCTTCTCCCTCTGCCGCTCCCCCTGCTTGTGTTCCCTCTCTCGCTGTCTCTCTTTCAAATAAATAAATAAAATCTTAAAAAAAAAAAAAAAAAAAGAATCACATGCTCTGCAGACTGAGCCAGCCAGGTATCCCCTAGAAGAGCTGCAGGAAGAGCATGAAGAACTCCCTGGTACCCATTCCCTTGATTCACAAATGCCCAACATTTGGTTGCTTTTGCTTCCTCTCTCTCTTTCTCTTTCTCTGTCCCCGTTCTGAGTTATTTGGAAGTACCTCAAGGACATCATTGCACTTTATTCCGATCTACTTAATCCCTAACTCCTAAGAAAAAGGACCATTTCCTATAGATACTGTGATCATATTCAAGAAGTTTAACATTTGTATATTATCTAATAATCATTTACTATTAAAATATTAAGAATAATGGCCACAAGGGAGGAGAAAAAAATCTTTTCCTCTACCCCTCCTAGGTTCTGCAGGTGGGGCCTTATAAATTAGATTGGCCAAAGACAGACCAACAGGAGAAAAATGAACAGAAGTGTCTTCACATGTATGCTGCTCATGTCCACATGGGAGCACTTGCAGCAATGAGTAATCCAAAGGGATGGTTAGAACTCAGGCTCCTGTACCATTTTAGGCTAAACAAAGGAAAGGTGGCTTTGGCTTTTGGGCAGGGGAGGCAAATTATGAGAAGGTGACCCAGAAAGTATGGTAAACTAGGGTTGTTTAGTAAGGCCTCTTATGCAGATAAGGTCAGCACTTTCTCCTGAGATGAGAACTGGAAGAGACTTCCTTTTCCTGCTACTGGGAGGGAGAGGCACCTTTACAAATGGAAATTTCCATTTCTTTTACAAAAGGAAAACTTGTGCCTTATTTTTAGAACTTTTCTTGCATGTGCCATTAGCTAAAATAATCCATGGGCCAACAGAGGCATATTTTTGGGTGGCTTAGTCACAGCCAAAAATCCAGTTTCCCCAATTGTCCCAATAGTGTCCTTTATAGTTTTTTTCCCCTCTTTTTAATTCAGGACCCAATCTAACAGCATGTATTGCATTTAATTGTCATGTAGCTTTAGTTTCCCTTAATTTCAGTGCACTGCCTTTCCCCCCTCCTTTTAAGATACAATATGTGAGGCGCCTGGGTGGCTCAGTCAGTTAAGTGTCTGCCTTCGGCTCAGGGTCCTGGGATCAAGACCCATGTGGGGCTCCCTGCTTAGTGGGGAGTCTGCTTCTCCCTCTACCCCTGTCCCCTGCTTGCGCTCTCTCTCCTCAAATAAATACAATTTAGGGACGCCTGGGTGGCTCAGTCATTAAGCGTCTGCCTTCAGCTCAGGTCATGATCCCAGGGTGCTGGGATCAAGCTCCGCATCGGGCTCCTTGCTCAGCCGGAAGCCTGCTTCTGCCTCTGTCTGCCACTCCCTCTGCTTGTGCTTGCTTGCTCTCTCTCTCTGACAAATAAATAAAATCTTTAAAAAAAATTTAAATTAAAAAAAAAGATACCATATGTAAAGAGTCCAGGCCTATTATTTTATACAATGTATCAGAATTAAATTCAGATTAATCATTTCAGCTGGCCTGTTATGTCCTCAGCATCTTTTAGTAGGCTCCTATGCTTTTTGACTTGTTCCAAAGCACTTTTAAACATTTTCTTACTTTCTGGATCAATAAGATGACGATGATCCAGGCCCACTTTTTGCTTTTCCTACTCCAAACCTGAAATCAACCAGGGAGTTCGTTATTTTCAGTGGGAATAATTTTTTGATTACTGTGTTTTAATATACAGCATTTGTAAGCTGTGGGAAAAAAGAAAAGTAGTCCTGGATAGGTTGGAGAACTGTGATAATGTATCCCATGATCTACTTTCTCCAGCAGATATCAATTCCTTTATAGTTGCTAATTATGGAAATAATCTCTGACAATTGGTTTTTTAAAAGATTATC